GGGTGTTTAAAGGCTTTTATTTTGACAAATGAACAGTTCAGTGCTCCTTGTGTTCTTCCAGCTGATAGGGAGATGATAACTGAGGACAATATTTGTGCGTTCAAAATTTCTCTAAATAGGTTTTATGAGATTTTGCCACAATTGAGCAGCCCTGCATGTCAGAAATGACACCTAAACAAAATAACAAATGCACGTGAGCATTCACAAGCCTCTGATTATGGAGCCTGGAGGATAAGAACACTCCAAACGCTGCACATCTGCCAGTTAGCTCAGGATCCTGCCACACTATGAGTTGTGTGTGCAGAGAGAGAAAAATGCAGTGCAGAGCAGAAGCCTTGAAGGATCCGCCGTTCCCCTCTTCAACCTTCTCACACACCTCCTGCACCAGCGGCAGCATTACACAACCTGTGGACGCACAGTAGCCCCTGTTGCTAAGATACCAGAAGGTATTATTTGCATTGAATATTAATTGGGCCCTCAGATCCCACAGCTGAGGAGAGAAATGTCCCTCTGTAAGGCGAACATGATTCAGATGTCGGGGGAGACGCACGAAACAAGAAACCTTTATCCTGTGGAATAAAAGTGAAACAAGTCCTTTGATTCCTGCGTTCTGCTGACAAACTAAAAGCCACGGTGCACACAAAGCGCCTAAATGTTTTTTTACACAAAGCATTATTTTCCCCACAGCTTTTACCTGAGCTCCCCGCCCTCCTACCCACTAGCTCTGGAGGGTAACACAGATAATTTGGTTGTATCCCTACTTTGCCTCGTGCTCATTTATTAGAGAAAATTGGAGTACAATTGCTATGCACCTGAGATAATAAGATTTAGCGCCTCCAATCTTTCTCTTTTCTGTAAGGGTGGGACTAAACAGCTGTAAAGGCAGGAAACAGGTGGACAGTAAGGGTCCTGCACACAGTCGGCGCCGATGCTCGTATGTTTTACCCGTTCTAAGCTGTTTCCTAATGCGTTTTTCTACATAGTGAAGCTATGAAACAAGTTGTTTCTGCACATGAAAGACCACGAAATATTCACAACCAGAACTTTATGAGCCGTTAACTCTGTTCCTCTTATTTTCTATGTTCCCAAATAGAAAGTGTGCTTCATTTCTCTGTAACTGGACTATTCGTGTTGCTTTAGGCTTTCCGGAAGAATGTTGACACAAAACGGTGGATGTTGCCACATACTGTAGCGGGGGGGGGGGGGGGGGGATGCACGTCCTTAAATAATTCAGTTTTCTAACGTTCATGTAATACTAGGATAAAGGCTCCAAGTTTACTGCCGTACTGTAAATTTACTCGGATGCATGCGAACACCGACTGACATCAAATCCATATTTTTTCTTTCACTTATCCAAAGTTGGGTTCTCCACCCCTCCATGGGCTTCCACCTTACCGTGGTCGAGGGGTTTGAGTGTCCCAAACATCCTAGGAGCTAAGTTGTCTGAGGATTTATGCCTCTGGTAGGGTCACCCATGGCAAACAGGTCATAGGTGAGGGATCAGGGGTCTATTCAGCCCATAAACCACTTATAAAACCACCACCACTTATGGAAACTGTTCCCTCGCCCGGATGCGGGTCACCGGGCTTCCCTCTCTGGAGTCAGGCCTGGAGGTGGGGCATGTTGGTGAGTGCCTGATGGCCCAGTGGCCTGGTGGCCCATGGAGCCCGGCCGGGCACAGCACAAAGAGGAGATGTGGGTCCTCCTATCCATTAGCTCACCACTCATAAGAGGAGCCAAAGGGGTTGGGTGCATTGTGTGTCAGGTTGTAGCCGAAGGCAGGGACCTTGGCTGTCTGATCCTCGACTACAAAAGCTGGCTCTCAGTACGTGGAATGTCACCTCTCTAGTGGAGAAGGAGCCGGAGTTGGTGTGTGAGGTTAAGAGGTTCTAGCTAGATATAGTTGGACTCACCTCAACGTATGGCTCTAGCTCTGGAACCAGTTTCCTTGAGAGGGGTTGGACACTCTACCACTCTGGAGTTGCTCCCACTGAGAGGCGCAAAGCAGGGGTGGGCATTCTTGTTTCCCCCCATCTTGGTGCCTGTACATTGGGGTTTACTTGGATAGCCTCCCTCTACCTATGTGTGGGGAGGCGGGCTTAGGCACCAAACTGCAGCTCAGACTGCCCGTCCTTGGAGGGGGTGCTGGACAGCACTCCTTCCAGTGACTCCTTCCTCCTGTTGGGGGACTTTAAGGCTCATGATGGCAACGACAGTGGGACCTGGAGAGGTGTGGTTGGGAGAAATGCCCTCCCTGATCTGAATTCGAGTGGTGTTTTGTTAATGGACTTCTGTGCACATCATGGATTGTCCATAATGAACACCATGTTCAGACATAAAGGTATCCATGTGTGCTCTTGACACCAGGATACCTTAGGCCGCAGTTTGATGATTGACTGTGTTGTTGCTTTGTCTGATCTGTGGCCGCATGTCTTGGACACTCAGGTGAAGAGAGGGGCGGAGCTGTGTACTGACCACAACCTGGTGGTAAGTTGGCTTCGATGGTAGAGGAAGATGTCAAACCCGGCAGGGCTAAACGTATTGTGAGGGTCTGCTGGGAACATCTGGTGGAGTCTCCTGTCAGAAAAAGCTTCAATTCCCACCTTCGACAGAATTTTGAACAAGTCCCGAGGAAAGTGGTGGACATAGAGTAGGTACCGGTTACAACCCCTGAACCGGCTGGTGGACACTGGCGGCTGGGGATGCTGTCAAGTGGAAGCAAGAGTCCTATCACGTCTTTTTGGCCTGTGGGACTCTAGAGACAGCTGATGGGTACCGGCAGTCCAAGCGGAATGCGGCGCGGGTGGTTGCGGATGCAAAAACCCGGGCATGGGAAGAGTTCAATGAGACCATGGAGCAAGACTTCCGTATGGCTTTAAGGAGATTCTGGTCCTTCATTTGGCGCTTCAGGAGGGGAAAGCTGTGCGCTACCAACTCTGTTTACAGTGGTGATGGTGCGCTGCTGACCTCTACTTGAGACATTGTTGATCGATGGGCAGAGTACTCCGAAGACCTCCTCATTCCCACCAGCATGTCTTCTAGTGAGGAAGGAGCTTGACTTTAAACCAATAAAAGTCCTAACAGTTCTCAGCTCTTTGTAAAACACCTTGTTTTAATCATGATCTACTTTGTACGTTTTATTTAGAATTCTCAAATCTTCACAAGAACCCTAACCCTGCTTTTGTTTGGACCTCCTAGTCTGAGTGTGTAGCAGAGTCTAGCTGTTAGGGATGGGTACCTTTGACATTTGAATTGATTCAGTACTAATTCCCGGTACCTAGGAATCGATACCGGTATTTAACGGTACCAATTGTTACTTTTGAGTGTTTATTATTTTAATTGTCTTTTACAATTAAATACATATTTTTCTCAATATATAACCATATTTGATAAATATCACGATAAATAACATACAACTGTTTGTATTTTAACATCGTCCTTGTAGTTTTATAAGCTGATAATTAAACTGAAGCAAACATCTTTACTGTGAACTAAATTTACTGTGTATCTTCATTCCTTTGGCCGTCCTTTTTCATTTGATTTTTCCTACTGGGAAGTTAGAATTTCCGAGGAGAAAGCGAACGCACCATTAGCTGATAACAATGGTGGCAATGGAAGCTAACATATCAAGCTAACGTCATCTTAAACAGTTTATTTAGCTGCTGGAGCAGATTAAAACGATGATGCCTCACACTTAGATCGTTGTCGCTGGTTTCATCTTCACCCAATCACCCGTCGCATTTAGTAAAGTGAAGCCAAACTTTAGAGCGCGTTCTTTTTATTTATTTATTTTTTTAGAGCGCGTTCATGTTCTTCTAGTCGGAAATTCGGAGTTCAGAGGAGAAAGTGAACGCACCATTAGCGAAATGGAAGCTAACATATCAAGCTAACGTTATCTTAAACATTTTATTTACCTACCGGAGCAGATTAAGATGAGGATGTCTCACTTAAACCGTTGTCGCTGGTTTCATCATCACCCAGTTACCCATCACATTTAGTGAAGTGGACCCAAGCGTTAGCGTGCGTTCTTTCTACCAAGCTGCTCTGTTTACAACTGGCTCGCAGCGAGCGACGACAAAACGCTCTTGCGCATGCGCAGCTGTCTTGGCAAGTTCTCGTTTTGATGGACGGGTCCCGAAACGAGGCACTGTTTGAAATGAGGTGAATCGGTGCTCAGTCGGTACTGTGGAATTCGGTCGGTACCTTAAAAAGTACAGAATTCGGTACTCATCCCTACTAGCTGTGTCCTTTCAGTCATGTAGAATTGTTTTACGTAGCGTCTACGTAAACGCTTGCACGTTCATCTCTCATCAAACGTTTTCAATCACAAACTCAGGAACAACACTGCTGGCTGCTAAGACTGAAGGCATCAGATCTTATGGTTGGTGGCCAGATCAGCAGGAAGCCCACCTGCCTGGGCTGAGTAAAGGGTCGCATACATACCAGGACAAACAAATAGTTTCAGCAGTATACACACAGACTAGATCTTGCTTATGCTGCATACTGAACACACACACTCCTGTTCTTCACAGCCCATCCCATGAGGCAGTGGAGCTTGTTAAGGGCCCATCCAATTACTGTCATCTAGAGGTGACCTCTGGTCCTACGTGCTGCTGCTTTATATGTCAATGATGGAGAGAGGAGAAAGAGACAGACTTCAAAGCAGGAGGACTGCCCCTCTGGGGAATGGCATTGTACACTATTACACCACATCAGCCCTGGGTAGCTGAGAGCTGCATGGCACTGTTCAAGTAGTTCATCAGGCCAACCTGGCAGGGTATGAGCTATAATTGGGCCAGACCTTTGGGATGATAGCAGGCAAACACATCAGTGCCTGCTAAAGGCTGGTGTCAACATGCCAAAGGAGTTGTTGAGCAAGGAATTCCTGCCGCTGCACTTATGATTACAGTGAGTAGAAACAAATGTGTCAGCCGCTCATGGCTCAGAACTCGCGTTATCTTGCACCCCCCACACCCCCAGAGTTTAGTGTCCGTACTCACGCTGGTTGGCTTTGGAGGGCGACGTGTGGTTGAGTCTCTCCAGAGAGTCACTGCTGCCCTCCTCCAGGATGTAATCGAAGTTCAGGATGAACATCATCACCACGCCCTCCTCGTTCTTCACCGGGATGATATGGGTGGTGCAGGCGAACTTTGAACCTAGCCAACAGAAAACACACCAACAGTCAGAAACAGTTTTGTTTTTGTGCCCAAGATTCATTCAACAATCCCAGTTTGGAGAAAAAAGATTAGTTGGTTTGGATTGAAGAGCTAACAGCTAGTCTGACCAAAGTGGCTCTTTGAACATATTCTCTCTCAAAACTCTTATAGTGGCCTAGTGAGTATGTGTTTTACGTCTTCATGTTACAGTTAGCAACAGCTGGCTGTAGCACCCATGGCATAAATGTCATGTTGTTCAGAAGAAGTGTGTGATGGATTAAAGTACTCAACACCATATTGTTGGAGGAGCAAACACACTGGTCCCAGACAACAGACCAGAGATAAACAACAACAATGCTGGCAGAGCACAAATATAGTAAGTAGTAAGTAAGTACATGTTTTATAAAGCACTTATCACAGACATAGAATCACAAAGTGCTCCATGTAGATCAAAACAAAATAAAACAGTCATAAAATCAAAATGCTCTCAAAACAGAATCTGATTAACATAAAAAAATAAGTCATAAAATTATAAAATTTCATAAACAGATGAAAGATTTAAAATTTGAGTTAAAATGAGAAAATAAAAGGTTTAGTAAAAGCAGCTTTAAATAAAATGGCATTTAGCTGTTTTTAAACATAAAGGATAAAGGAAGATCATTCCAGAGTCGGGGTGCAACAGTCTGGAAGGAGCGATCACCTCGACTTTTGTATCTGCTCTTTGGAACTTCCAGAAGGTTCTGGTGTGTGGACCTGAGGGCTCGGGTTGGGGCATAAGGCTTTAACACTTCAGTAATATAGGGAGGAGCTTGACCATGTAGAGCCTTGAAAGTTATAGCCAGGACTCTAAAATGAACTCTAAAGTTAACGGGTAACCAGTGCAGAGACATCAGAATAGGAGTGATGTGAGCTCTTCTGTTTGCTCCAGTTAGGAGCCTCGCTGCAGAGTTCTGGACCAGATGAAGACGGTCAAGGGCTTTTGTGTTTAAACGTGAAGAGTGTGTTACAGTAATCTAGACGGGAGGAGATAAAGGCATAGATTACCATTTCAAGTTCATCTTTTGACACCAACCTTTGCAGTTTGGAGATATTTCTTGAATGATAAAAACAATTTCGGACCAACGTTTTTGAGTGGCCTTCAAGAGACATCGATTGGTCAAAAATAACATCAAAATTTCTTAAGTTTGTTTTGACGGTGGAGGATAAATGACCAAGTTTTAGACTAATCAGGGGAACGATGCTCTCAGGGGCAATGATCAGACATTCAGTCTTTTCAGAGTTTAACTGGAGGAAGTTATCTTCTAGCCAGCTGGTGATGGCTGATAGACACTCTAGTAATTCAGACAGTTTATAGAACTCAGAATCCTTAACCTGTTTAACCCTAAATCCCCCCGATTGGGGGCCTCTACAGTTTCATGTCCCAAATATCTACAACCGTCCACATTCTCCAAACACAACTAAGACCACAATCAGACAGCCCAGATGGGAAACAAGGCAATTTTAAATTGTAATAAATGAAGATACAATGATTTTTGAACTTTATTTTAGAAGAGCATCTGACCTTCTCTGGTGTCCGCTGGGGACAAAAAACCCTTGAACAAATTTTGTTGAGGACCCCTGGAATAAATAAAACAATTGATTAAGTTTCCTAAATGGAATTTGAACTCACAACCTCCATCCTGTCAGCACGTTCACACAGGGCAGCTCTTCTAGAATAAAGTTCAAGTATTATTTTATCTTAATGTATCAAAAACCAAAAATTGCTTTGTTTACAATTTAAACTGTTTTGATTGTAGCTGTAGCTGTGCTCGGGGAAAGCAAACCATCACTGACACTTGGGATATGAAACTCCAAAGGCCCCCAGTTGGGAGGCGCCAGGGTCCAAAGAAAAAAGGCCTAGGGCCTAAAGGTTAAAGGAGCAGTACAGCTGAATATCATCTGCATATAGGTGATAAGAGACATTATGAAAATAATCAAGTATCTGTCCAAGAGGGTGTATGTACAGCAGAAACAACAGTGGACCCAAAACAGAGCCTTGGGGTACCCCACAGAACAGATCGATAGAATCTGACATGATTTGGTTTATACAGACACTGTAACTTCTATTAGAAAGGTACGATCTAAACCAGTCTAGAACAGTTCCAGAGATCCCCACCGAGTCACCAAGTCTGTTAGTTAAGGTGCTGTGATCATCAGTGTCAAAAGCTACAGAAAGATCTAACAATACTAACACTATGAATCCGCGTTGTCTGCAGCCATCATGATGTCACTGGAAACTTTAAGCAAAGCTGTATATAGCTATCCAGCTAATGCTTTCAAAAACATAAAAGGGAATTAGTATGTAGTAAGTAAGTAAGTAAGTAAGTAAAAGTTTATTTATATAGCGCCTTTCACAGATATAAATCACAAAGCGCTGTACAACATGATAAAGATCAGGGCAAATACCTCTAACCAATAAAAACAGCCAAAAATCAATAGCAGTGATAAACGTAGAAAATAAAATCATGAGTATAAACAAAGTGAAGGTGTGAACCCGAACAAAGAAACATTTAGGGAGGGAACGCCTGGATGAAAAGGTGAGTTTTTAGATGATTTTTAAAGACCTCTACAGTGTTAGAGAGACGGAGATTTGAAGGTAGACTGTTCCAAAGTCTGGGTGCAATAGTCTGAAAGGCCCTGTCCCCTTTGGTTTTCAGTCTGGTTCGAGGAACAGCCAGGAGGTTTTCAGATGTGGATCTAAGGTTCCGAGAGGTGGTGTGTGGGGATAAAAGCTCAGATAGGTAGCTTGGAGCCTGGTTGTTAAGAGCTCTATAGGTCAGGACTAAAACTTTAAACTGTATTCTATATTCTACCGGGAGCCAGTGGAGGGACTGTAAACCTGGAGTGATGTGAGCTCGTCTGCTGGATTTGGTTAGGAGTCTGGCTGCTGCATTTTGGATGGCTTGAAGGCGTGAGAGGGAGGTTTTGCTGAGACCAGTAAAAAGAGCGTTACAGTAGTCTAAGCGTGATGACACAAAGGCATGGATGATTTTTTTCCAGATCTGCAGTAGAAACCAGTTTACGGACTTTTGAAATGTTTCTCAGTAGTACCATTCTGGACATTTATGAAATGTATTCATATTAGACAAAAACATTTAGAAATGTCTACTTTAAATCACTGGTGTCAAAGGTTTTTCCAAGTGGGTCAAAATAATCCTGAGCTTCAACATTTAGATTATTTTTAATTAAAAATACAAGTTATTTATAGAATTTTTTTCTCCCTACATCAAAGCTCTCATTGACTTTTTTCTCGATAATTTTTCAGCTGTTTTTAATAAAAATGAATCCCTTGTGAGGCATTTTCTGTGGAATAAAAGCTCTGGTGCTCTTGTTTCAGGAAGTAGCAATTAGCCAGAGGAGAGGGGGGCCAGACGATTGCCTCTGATTGGCTAACAGCAACGCAACTCTACCACTGACTCAGTTTGCTTTGCAATGCTGATGATTTATTTCTACAAGTAACAAAAGCCAAGAGGAATTCTGCCATGCTGTGGACTTGCTAATGCTAACAGTTAGCTTCTAGTAGCCGAGACATTCTCTGCTGAGTCTCAGATGTTAGACCAACAACAGCCTTCCCGTCATGAGCCAAGATGGTGAGTCCATGAAGGCTAATTTACAATGAGACGTGGATCCGTTTTTTCTGATTCAGAAATTTTCTTGTCTGTTTTTATTGGTGGCTAATGCAGGAAATAGGGGTAGAAGACTATTTTCAGGTTCAGCCTGCATATTAACTCATCATACTTCAAAAATAACAAGTAAAAATGGTCTCTCCACAAAACAGCCTTTTCAACACAATTTTAAAGGTGCATTATGGAAGTGTGACAGCCAAAACATGTATAGAAATAATAAATGTCTTCTTCATACATTCTCCTGCAATGCCCTGGTCCTGTAGAATGAGCCCTGGCATTTTTACTGTGATTGCCTGTTTTTCTGTAAAATCACAGAAAAAGTGAGATGCTCGGGTCGAGCAGGCTGCTTCATGCGCGTTCACGCTCAGGCATAGCCCGTAGCATTTGCTATCCGTAGCTTTAGCTGTTCCTAACACCTAGTGGCAAAGCTAGCAACATTTCTGAGGACCCTTAGCTACTTTCTTCTAGATATTTCCTGCAAATTAGCAACAAAATAGCCATTTTCGCTCCGAATCATTCTTTGAACGTTGTTTCAGCTGTCATCAAGGATATAAATGTTACAGATACAAAGGACGTCAATGGCGCTTTAGCTCACCTAGTAAAACGTCGGACTCCCGTGCAGAAGACCTGGGTTCGATTCTGACTGTGAACATAGTTTATTTGGAGTTTCTGTTTTACATTAATGGTAGGTTTTGTCTCAGCTGTTATTTTGATTAAGGAGTGTGCACGTACAGCATGCGCGCCTCGTGCACGAGCCTACTATTGAAGCTGCCATTACGCTTATGGCCTGAGGGGTCAATCGCGAGCATAAAAATTCAAAACTCTGTAAAGTCCCTTTAATGAAAAGCACATTTTTTAAGTTATTTGTAGAAACTGATCTGTAAAGCTTTATCAATCTGAAACACTGAAAAGGTCTCATATATCGTATTAAGCTTCAAGGTTTAAAATGCATGACTTATTCATTTTTGTATCCAAAACAAATGTACAAAAACTGATAGAGGGCTTGAAGCAGATATTGATGCCGGCAGTGGGCCTTGAACAATCTCTGACAGTCATATATTCTGCTGCTGATGAAAGCTGGGTGAGAAAAGGCCGTGAACGAGGAGCAGGATGATGAAACAATAATCCAACATGGCCGCAGCCCGACCACAGTCAGAACACTCCCAACATTCATTCATCTGAATTTTAAATGAATAAATGATCAAATGGTTCGTAACAATAAAACAGCGAATGACAACGAGGACAACGGCTCCATTAAGGAGGAACGCACAAACACAAGAGGGACATTTAAACAATTCAACCTGATGGAAGATAATTCTCAGCTCATTCAAACAC